CCAGTCATTTTAAATTAGTTTTGAAATACAGTAAAGTATTTTGCTTATTGGAAATATTAAATTTAATCTATTAACTTGAAATTAAGACAAAAATAAAAGCTTCAAGACAGATTTTTCATTTTTAAAAATTAATTTTAAACCTTATGTATCGTGCTTTCTGTAGTTTAAAGTGTTGCTATACTCATATAGTGTTTTTGAGGTTTCTAAATATTTTACGGATCTATATCATTGGGTACTACGTGTAATGTATTTTTTATATTCCTCCTTCTGTCCTGTTGTTCACCGTAATACATTTGAATGCAATTTCGACAAAATAAACGAGAGTCTGATAAGAAAAGGAAAAGATTCACTAAAAAATAAATGCATTGACAGTGTGCTGATCTCAGAATACTCGAAGATAAACCTAAGACCAGGCTCATACATAATATCAACGATCATCATAAAAGCAATAGTAGCAAAATACGGTAGATGAGCCAAGAGTGACCCCCAAGAACCCCCCCCAAAAAAACAAAAAAACAGGAAATATACCTGTAGTAGGTAATTTAAAATCCAACGGATGTTAACGGTTTCAACGAAATGAAACGCGTTATTTGCAAAAAGCTTTTGAACTTTGTCTTTTTATTTCTACTTTTATTTAGTTTCTATGTTACATCCTACTAAGGCATACACACACACACACACACACACACACACACACACACACACACACACACACACACACACACACACACACTCCTACAACACACACACCCTCTCACAGACACTCTCACTCTCTCTAACACACACAGACGCATGCACATACACACCCCACACATATATTTTCTGTTTATACGTTATTTTTATAGATACAAATATTTAAGTAAATGCTCTGATTATAATAAACAGTATTAACGACATTTACCAGCCTGAATGTTAGAAAAATCGAACCTGTATTCTACACGGAACTGTCATATATCCTGATGTACTTGGGCTCCCCCGAGGCGGTGTAGTGGTTAGCAATCGTGTCCCGCTAGAACAATTACGACTGAGTAGTGAGTTCGATCCTCACTGGGTGCCTCATACTTTCGGACTTGTGCCACATCTAAGCTACGCTTGGAAAATCACTATATCCTGACGTGCTATACCATTTAGCTACAGAGGAAGCGTCTGGTTAGTAAGGTTAAATTACTGTTTTTAAACTACAAATATTTCCCATGACTTCTCTCGAACGCTCATATCTGCTCGAAGCATATCTTAACGTAAACAAATGACATCATATATTATGAAATGGACTAAGTCCGATAATTATTTTAATATATTTCCTGTTTATACGTTATTTTTATGGGTACAAATATTTAAGTAAATGCTCTGTTTATAATAAACAGTATTAACAACATTTACCGGCCTGAGGCGATGGAAAGTAGTTTTACTATTTGATGTCAATAATTATTCAAATGAAAGACAGAAAAGTTTTCAATTATATATTTTACGTAGTAAGATAATTCCAGAAGGCAGGAATATATATATATATATATATATATATATATATATATATATATATATAAAATGTCTTAAAATAATTGTTGGACTATGTCCATTTTATAATGTGTGATGTCATTTGTTTACATTTGGTTACGCATTGAGCAGATATGAAAAATTCATAGAAAATTGTAGTTTAAAATCAGTAAACTCGACCTTGCTAACCTAAACGCTCCTCTGTGGCTCAATCGGTAAAAGCACGTCAGGCTATATGACGGTTCCGTATAGGATACAGGTTCGAATCCTGTCGGAGGACGCATATTTTCTATGAAACTTTCTCGGACATTTAGGCCGGTAAATGTTGTTAATACTGTTTATTATAAACAGAGCATTTACTTAAATATTTGTATCTATAAAAAGAATGTTAAACATAAAAATGTCTTTATATATATTCAGGTTTTTGTCGTCCCACCAGGATAAAATAATTTTATGGACTGCTGAGATTATAATTTTATTATTAAAATAGATCTAAAAGTATCACGTTTAAGATTTTAGGCATCTTTCAGCCGATACTTCTTCAGAAACAAAATCGTCGGCAATATAAAACGAAGTAGTTGATAAGAAATTTTTTTTACCAACCACTGATATCAAGATTGAAATTACGAAAAGCTGGAGTAGGTAATTGGGGAGGAGGAAAAATTACAGATTTTCTTCCCGGTAAGGCAAGTGATTTCTCGAATATGACCAACTTATATTTCAACTCTCGTTGTCTACACAGGGCAGGACGTTGCATGTTAATAACAGTCTGGAGGATATCTAAATGGAGTCTCGTCTGTGTCTTGTGACAAACAGAAAAAAGCAGGAGAATAATTCGTCTTGCAGGCAACAGAATTTAAAAGGTGCTTACCGATCGCGGAGTCATGACTCTAGAAACGCCCGGATGTCACAGGCTCGTGTCTACACACCTGGCAATGGACATGCTGAGTAATCCTAACCTCCAACTTATGAATGGTCTTGCCCACATAGTCAATTTCACATCTACATATATATTGATATATTCCAAAACTTTATTGATTGGCAGGTAAGACATCCTTACGACAAGAGCTGGTGGGGAGGGGGGGAGCCTTTCTAGTTGTAAAAATACTCCTGACCATAACGGCATGGAAACACTGTTTAATAGAATTGGAAATTTTGATAGCGTCTTTGACTCTCGGGACTAATCCACGGGAGTCTCACATATACAGGATATTTAGAAGGACCATATCCCTTAACCTCATTGAATGTAACGATTTTTGTTGAATGGTAGATGTCACAACACATTCGGTGTAACCATTTATTAATAATAGCTGTTTAATTTTCTTTAACTCAGCGTCAAGTCTACACTCGGATCTATTTTAATAATAAAATTATGATTCTTGTCTTTAAAATTATATATATATATATATATATATATATTATAAATTAATTGATTTAAAATATGGTTATTTTCGCTACACAGTTCCAACCATGTTTCAAAAAATAGAAGCTAAAAACCCTAATTTTATTTTTTGCAAATAAATTAAAAAGCATTAGTTCTATTTCATCTTCAAGCGAATTTTGGAGTAACTTTTAAAATTTACCGGGTTTTAAATACACAGCTAAAATCACGTTTCCATGGTTACAGAATATTCTACTCAAATTGAACACAGGGGTGTCTAGATTTTCCTTATGACAGTATCATTGTATCAGTTATTAGCTACATTTTGGTAAGGGGTGAGGATGTATTTTACACTGAAACCTGACGTCAGTTGAATGGATGTCGTCTGAATTTAAAAAAAAAAAAAAAAAAAAAAAATTATTAACGGTAAAAATTTTTAACGTCATCTTTTAAAATTAAAGATTTTTTTACAATACTTTTTATTTAACTACGATTTGAAATATTTTCCTTTTTTAATTTTTATTTTACTATATTCTTTTTAGAACAGTTAAATGTATTAGAATCCATTATATTATGTAGGATTATTTTAACATTAAGTTTAAGTATGTATATGAGGTTACATTTTTTTTTTTTTTTTTTTTTTTTGTATATGACTATAACAGCAGAAATGGTTACTTAATTTCACTGATTCAGTAAACTTTTCTTTTATATATAAACCTATTATTATAATATTTCACATGTAAGTACTGAGGACATGGGTCATTCAAAAGCTTACATGTTATGGTATTTCATATTAATTTTATTTTACTATAGGTGTTATTTTTGGATTCTTTTTAATGCGTGTAGTATTATTTAAAAGAAATTTAGGTTAGAATTCATTCAATTTAACTACAATTTTAATTACAAATTCAAAATTACAACTTTAAATTTTAAAATATTTTCATTGTTTAGTTTTAATAGACTATATTACTTTATAACAGAAGGAAAATTACTCATATTAAGTAAGATTATTTTTCCATATCAAAGTATATGTAAATTTTTTTTTTTTTTTTTTTTTTTTTTTTTTTTTTCTTCCCCTTCTTCTCTTTAAATTTAAATATTATTTAAGTAATATTAATGGCACTTACTACAAAACTAGCTAAGTCATTTCTCAGATTTAGTAAACTTTATTTATTTATTAATTAATTAATTTATTTATTTCAAATATATGTAACCTAATTAATAAAGTTTCATATGTATGTATAAATAACATGTTAGAATTCATTTTATTTTACTACAATTTTAATTTCAATTTTAAAATTTTAAAATTATAATTTTAAAATTTTAAAATATTTTCATTGTTAGTTTTAATTTAGACTATATTACTTTATAACAGAAGGATAATTACTCATAGTAAGTAAAAAAATTCGTTGGAACTGTGTAGCGAAAATAACCATATTTTAAATCAATTAATTTATAATATTAATGCTCTGTAAATTTACATTGAACACTATTTTGTAAAAATAAAATATCTATAAGAACACCGGATTTTATATCTTACTGTTCTTTCTTTTTATTTATATACATATATATATATATATATATATAGTTTTAAAAACAAGGAAACCATTGATTTTAATTTTAAAAGTCTCTAGGGCCCTTTCAGCCAACATCTCATCAGGAGACAATCGTTGGATTAGCGAAAAGAATATTAACGATATTGAAGAGCAAAAAAAAAAAGAGGGGTAAACACACTAAAATAACAAACAAGTATATATACTTGTAACGATGGAAGGGATCGTGTAAATAAATTAGCGATATATATACAGAGAGAGAGAGAGAGAGAATGAGAGGGAGAGAGAGCATAAAATTATAATAAAAATGCTACCTTTTAATACTAGTGAATAATATACGTAAAATGATATTATTTAACAAACTAAACAGAATTTCTGTCAATAAAATGTTCATTGTGGACTAAAGCGTTAATGATTATGAAATCAGAATTTAAACCTTCAATAATGATCGATCAACTCACGATGAGTGATTGAAAAAATTACGAAAATCTGAGTTGACCTTTGATAAGTATTGAACTACTAAAATGGTAATTATAAACAGATAGATAGATAGATAGATAGCGGGAGAGAGATCAAAGGAGTGAAACAGACAGATAGAGAGATATGGAGAAAGAGATAGATAAATAGGGAGAGAGAGAGAGAGAGGGAGATAGATAGATAGAGAGCGGGAGAGAGATAGAGGGAGTGAAAGAGAGATAGAAAGAATTAGAGAAAGAGATAAATAGATAGAAAAAGAGAGAGAGGAAGAAGAGATAGATAGATAGATAGATAGATAGATAGATAGATAGATAGATAGATAGACAGAGAGATAGAGGGAGTGAAAGAGATAGAGAAAGGGATAGATAAATAGATAGAGAAAGAGAGAGAGGAGGAGGAGAGATAGATAGATAGATAGATAGATAGATAGATAGATAGATAGATAGATGGAGTGGAAGAGATAGATAGAGATAGATAAATAGATAAAGAAAGAGAGGAAGAGAGGGAGAGCGAAAGAGATAGATAGAGAAAGAGAGAGAGAGAGGAGGAGGGGAAGATATATATATAGAGATAGATAGATAGATAGATAGATAGCGGGAGAGAGATAGAGGGAGTGAAAGAGATAGATAGTGAGAGATAGATAAATAGATAGAGAAAGAGAGGGAGAGAGAAAGAGATAGATAGATAGAGAAAGAGAGAGAGGAGGAGGAAAGGGAGATAGATAGATAGATAGATAGATAGATAGATAGATAGATAGATAGATAGATAGCGGGAGAGAGATGGAGGGAGTGAAAGCGATAGAGAAATAGATAAATAGATAGAGATAGATGGATATATATATATATATATATATATATATATATATATATATATATATATATATATATATAAAAAGAAAGAGAAAACTATATTTTAGTTTGGTTACTATGGCCTTGTTCAAGGTTAGGCTATGTAAAATAAAATAAGAACGTTGATAGTCAATCCTTAAACCTTTGTCTCCTTCGATGCCGTGCGACTGTAAGAAAGAGTGAACAGCATAATACAGAAAGATATTCGTATTTGTTCAATGTTTGCTGGGAGCTCCTTTAGGTTATTTTTTTATTAGGCCTGGCATATTTGATTATTTATTCTTTATTGCTTACGAATTGATGTGTTATTTTCCATAAGTATCACACGTTGCTATTCGAGACACAGGATATTGAACGTCTTCGATGGAAAGACTCCCACACATTTCTTACTTAAGAACAGGCTTCTTGTGAGAAAATTAGCAATAAATTTTAATTTAGACACGGAAAAGAAATTACAAAATCTCCTACAGAAGGTAGCGAAGGAAAGCGAGATAAAGGGACTAAGCACAAACTACAAGAAGACAGAATGCATTGTCATCAGTAAAAGGATGAGCCCGAAATGCGATTTGAAGATCAGGGACACTAAAATCAAGCATGTGAGGAAATTTAAATATCTGGGAAGTGTTTTGACAGAGGACGGTAAGTGCGACACTGAGATCCGTAGAAGCATTAGGATGACTATGGTCGCATTACAAAAGATTGGTAGTGTGTAGCGAGACAGGACGATTCCTTTGGTAACAAAGAAAAGAGTACTGAGCTGCTACGTGACATCAGAGGTGAATATTGGACTGTCTCCTAAAAGATGAAGAAGAGACTAGAGTTGACGGAGATATGGTTCTACAGAAGGATGCTGAGGATATCATGGACCGAGCGTGTGTGCAACGATGAGGTCTTGGAGAGGATGCAAACAAGGAGGAAACTTATACCTAACACCAGAAAGATTCAGCTGAAAATTCTAGGATACGTAATGAGAAAGGAGGGCTTGGAGAATCTGATACTCACGGGTCAAATAGAGGGAAAGAGAGACAAAGGAAAATAACTGAAGATATACCTGGCGGGATTAAGCAAGTGAATGACAGAACGTGGTCTGGGGGAGGTGGCAGAGGAACTAAACTTATTGAGAGCTACAAGGGATAGGGCGAAGTGGAGGGGCATTATCGCCTACGTCCTGAAAGGACACGGCACATTAAAAGAAAGAATACTTATCGCTCTTATTTTCTGATAATGTCGTGTATGGACGTCCGTATTTATAAAAGTCAGCACGTTTATACACGCACACAATGCAAAATTCTTTTTTTTAAATACTGTGAGTCGCTGTATTGCAGTAGTCTTTTCCAGGATTAGTAAAGATATGATTTAATAATCCATCCATCCATCCATCCATCCATCCATCCATCCATCCATCCATCCATCCATCCATCCATCCATCCATCCATCCCATTCTATTCATAGTCCATCTATCTATCCATCTATCATCCATCCATCCATCCATCCATCCATCCATCCATCCATCATCCCATTCCATTCATAGTCCATCTATCTCATTCTATTCATATCCATCTATCCATCCATCTATCCATCTATCCATCCATCTATCTATCCATCTATCTATCCATCCATCCATCTATCTGATTCTGTTCATAATCCATCCATCCATCTATCTATCTATCCATCCATCTATCCATCCATCCATCCATCCCATATCTATCTATCTCCATCCATCCATCTATCCATCTATCTATCTATCCATCCATCTATCTATCTCCATCTATCCATATCTATCTATCTATCCATCCATCCATCCATATCTATCTATCCATCTATCTATCTATCTATCTATCTATCTCTCTCATTCTATTCATATCTATCTATCATCTATCTATCTATCTATCTATCTATCTATCTATCTCATTCTATTCATAGTCTATCTCATTCTATTCATAGTCTATCTATCTATCTATCTATCTATCTATCTATCTATCTATCTATCTATCTATCTATCTATCTAATTCTGTTCATAGTCTATCTATCTATCTATCTATCTATCTATCTATCTATCTATCTATCTATCTATCTATCTATCTCATTCTATTCATAGTCTATCTATCTATCTATCTATCTATCTATCTATCTATCTATCTATCTATCTATCTATCTATCTATCTATCACAATATGTTAATATCTCTCCATCTCTGTTTCTTTACATCAGATTCCCCCTCTCTGCTCCTCTCCATCTTTCTCTCTCCCTCCCTTTCTCTCTCCTCTCCATCTTACAAGCACCCACATGCATACACACACGAAGTAAGTCACCACTCATTATTTGAACGACCAGTTAAAAGTCAACTAAGAAGTGAATCTAATGAAATAAAAGCCGATTTAGCACATAGAGAATTTTCGTAATGTTCTTTTCATTGATTTACGAGGGATGGAAAAAATGCTACTTGATTCTGTATTTCACTGAAAAGAAACCAAATCATAAAACCTCATGGCTAAACATTCTAAATGTTACAAGGTGAACTAGACCCTTTAATAGAAACTCGTCTCCCTGCGTGTTCGCTTAAAGATCACCGACAGCGCATGCGTGATTCATCTTGAAGTTCAAGCAGCAGAACCGTACGCAGGCGCAGTTCCGTCAGTATGAATCAGTCGCTGGTGTTTTACTTTTTTGCGATGAGGGTTGTCTGTGATTGTCCAATATCTTTGGTGCTCCAACGACAGGTCTACATGAGATAGTTGAAGAAGAGAGAGAGAGAGAAAGAAAAATATAGAGAACTATTTTGAGGTTTATGCCTTTCCAAAGATTTATTTATTTTTTTACTTCTAACCATTAAGAAATAATTCCAGTTTACTGGTTTTGAAATAAAAAAAAATTGGAATTAAGCGAAAAAATAATTGACAACATTAAACAATCGGATGTAATTTAATATTTTCTCTTTTGATGGACAATTCAATGTAGTCTATTCTTGGGCCATTTAAATTAACGATATATATATATATATATATATATATATATATATATATATATATATATATATATATATATATATATAATAAAATGTGTGTGTGTGTGTGTGTCCGTATATATATATATATGAATAAAGGCTGCGATGGATAAATTGTCGTCTAAATTACGGAGATATGAAAGTAATATTGACATCTTATTTTAAGATATAGTTACCAAAATCACACAAAAATATCTTGAAATACTAAAGAGTAAATTTATTCAATAAAATCACCATTAGCTTCAACCACGGTCTCCAGGAGACTTCGGAATCTCCTGCAACTCTTCTGGACAGTCTCCTTGTTTCAGCTGGTGAATGCTGCCATAATCCTTTGCCTTCAGTTCATCTTTGGTCTTACAAGGAATTTTGTAATCGCTCAATTGTGGCCCACACAAAATAATCAAGGGTGTTGCAGTCTGCGGAGTTAGGTAGCCAGATGAAGGGATGATGTAGTCGCATAAATTGTCTCGCATCCATGAGTTCTCCTGCAAGTGTGGTATGGTGCAGTTTCATGTAGGCCGATGTGTTTAGCATGAGGCCCTGTTGGAAGATGTATGGAGGCCTAACGTCACCATTACTAGAGATCAGTCCAAACAGCATGATGCTGACTGGATATATCATCCAACTCTTTCCTAATCCTCTGCACTGTCCTCAGAGTGACACCCAAAACTCTCTGAAATATTCCTATTGGAGCTTCCGGCGCGAATGCCAAGCAGTACAGCATACCGTTTCTGTCAGATTGAATTGCGTCATGGTGCTCTTTTTCACATCGAGGGGGCCCAACTGACCCTACTATAATCTCCATATATATCTAAGGAGCATATTTTTAGTTAAGCATGTTTTGTTTAATAATATAGACATTATTTTTAGATTGATCCTTTCAAGTTGTCTAATTAATGGTTTTACTTTTATCACAATTACAGTAGAATGTTTTTCTTTGGAATTTACCTCTAAAAATGATCTTAGAAATGCTCGAAAGCACTTGGGTTAAACAAAAAACAAACTACGGCGCCTTCCTTGATGGATTTCATCTCAATATCAAGAAACTAATTAGTTTGAAAGGATCAATATAAAAATAAGTAGACACAATATGTCTATATATCATGATATATATATATATATATATATATATATATATATATATATATATATATATATATATATATATATATTTATACACGTTTCATTAAATAATATAGACAAGTGTTGTCTATTTATTTTATGTAAAAAATTTTTCGTATCTTCTGATAAGTTTGATAACATTATCATTAACCGAAAAAAGAAATTCACAATATTTATCCATTATTTTTTTAATATAATCTAAGCTTTCGGCTTTCTCAAGCCATTATCAAAGATGTAATTACAAACATATCAAACAATATACGGACACGACAGTGATGATAGTCTGTCATTGTTTAGTTTACATAGTGAATCACTAAGCAACGATGAACACGCGCATATAAGACGCTTGAAGCGAAAATCGCACCGCATCTCATGACGTCACACATGAGTACACGAGAGTGAATTGGAGAATGAAATAAGGAAAGCCGTTGGTATAAACCAATGGCTTCTGTTACCAATTATAGAAATTATAGACATTTAAGAATATTTGTAGAGATGCCATAGTTGATTTTGTTTTAGGTTGGGTTTAACTGTTTGATGTATAATGCTTCAAGTATTTTTAGTTTTTGTCTATTGTTTTCATGTCGAAGTATAGTTGTGTTTTCGACAAGTATTTTACGGAATTGTGTGTGCAGGCAGGCATGTTGTTTTAAATGCCTAAAAATGTTAAAACAACATGCCTGCCCACACACACATCAAACTTATCAGAAGATACGAAAAAATTTTACATAAAATAAATAGACAACACTTGTCTATATTATTTAATGAAACGTGTATAAATGAAAATATGCTGCCTAAATACACACAATATATATATATATATATATATATATATATATATATATATATATTAAGAAATGGACAAAGTCCGACAATTTATTTATTAAAGACATTTTTATGTTTAACGTTCTTTTTATAGATACAAGTATTTAAGTAAATGCTCTGTTATTTAATACTGTTTATTATAAACAGAGCATTTACTTAAATACTTGTATCTATAAAAAAGAACGTTAAACATAAAAATGTCTTTAATATATATATATATATATATATATATATATATATATATATATATATATATATATATATATATTTGTTCTTATGTACATCGTTTTTGTCATGTTGTATTGATAATGTTATAATTTATGAATATGTCCTGAAGATGGTTTATTAGACCGAAACGTCCGACGTTGGCATATTAACATTAAAACAGCATAATTGTAGATAAGGATTTTGTTTGTTTTTTCCGTATATATTTTTCTTCATATATATATATATATATATATATATATATATATATATATATGAACGTTCAAGGTGAACGCTATAATGTCAAAACTTGTCGATAAGATGAAATGTCCAGTACGAAAAAAAACAAAAATCTATATTGATATTTGAACATGTAGCAGACGATCTCCGGAACATCCCCGCTCACCATTCTCTTTGCATTCAGTGCCGGTGGGTGTAATTAATAGAAACACTGAATGTAAAATCAGAATCAGGTTCATCCATTTCCTCAGCCAAGCAATGGACTCATACTATGTAATCTTGACAAATTGTTGGTTATTTTAAAAACAGCTTTTATGTAATATTCACTTGAATTAAATTGAAATCCAGAAGACATATCAGGTATCATTAATTTACAATGGTTTAAGAAGACAAAAAAAAAAAACAACAAAAAACAAAAACAAGTCAATCAGTTCTTTTTGGTTTTTCTTTTTCCGAGATGAAATGATGTGATGTAAAAAAACGATTTAGGTGAACCATTTTTACTATTTAAATGGAGGATGGTTTATTCTTTTTCCGAGATGAAATGATGTGATGTAATTTTTGTTATTTGGTATTTAGGTGATGTGGCTTTTGTTATTTGGTATTTAAATGACGTGACTTTTGTTATTTGGTATTTAAGTGATATGGCGTTTGTCATTTGATATTTAAATGATGTGACTTTTGTTATTTGGTATTTAAGTGATATGGCGTTTTTAATTGGTATTTAAATGATGTGACTTTTGGTATTTGGCATTTAAGTGATATGGCGTTTGTTATTTGGTATTTAAATGACGTGACATTTGTTATTTGGTATTTTAATAATATGACTTTTGTTATTTGGTATTTAGGCGATGTTGATTTTGTTATTTGGAATTTAAGTGATATGGCTTTAGTTATTTGGCATTTAAGTGATGTGACTTTTGTTATTTGGTATTTGAGTGATATGGTGTTTGCTATTTTATATTTAAGTGATGTGGCTTTTGTTATTTGGTATTTCAATCATATGGCTTTTGTTATTTGGTATTTAACTGATATGGCATTAATTTTTTTGTATTTTAGTGAAGTGACTTATCATTTCGTAATGTTGTTTGTTATTTTGTAGTTGATGTGTGTAAGATCTGAATGAGAAATCTATCAAAGACTTGAAGGATTTATTTCCTTGAAACCATTTTAATCAGCGATCTATTTAAACGATTTTGTCGTAATTGCTAAAACTGAATCAAGAACGTTTATATATTTTAACAGTTAACTTGTGTAATCGTTGGCAGTATATATCAACTCCTGGAAGCCAAAATATTTTAAAAAATTATGCCAAGTCTGGTAAAAGGCTAAAATTATGGAGTACTTTGCATAGATCGATATCACTTTTATGATATTCTACGATGCTTCTCTTAGTTATAGTAGAGCAGCAAGATGGAGATTTTCTGAAAGCTATGCATCGTAATGTGCATGATAGTAACCGTTTCCTTATAAAGAAACATTTGTCATTCAGTGACTGGGCAGCTTTTACTAATGTCGGCAAAAATTTATAAAATATTTCTCTTAAAATAATTTTTCAGGACAATCGGTTTCTCAAATCCAGTAGCTGTTATCGCTCTTGCCAGTGTTGATGAGCAGTTGCCATCCGAACCTTTTATTTGAAGTCGCGTGGAGAGTCAACATCTTGATTATGTCATTATTTTCTCTTCTCAAACCCAGTAGCTGTTATCATTCTTTCCAGTATTGATGGGGGTTTCCTTGCTAACCTTTTATTTGAAGTCGTGTGGAATGTCAACATCTTCATTATGTCACTATCCATTTTAGCCGTTGCTGCTGTTGAAAGTCCTCAATTGATGTGATTTCTGTTATTTGGTACAGTTCTTTGTTTGTGATTCTGTAGCACCAGTCCACAAGGTTTAAAGAACGATA